CCCATAGTGAGCTGGCCCCTCTCACATCAATCACCAATCAAGAAAATGAACTATAGGCTTTTCCACAAGCCAACCTGGTGGGGCCATTCTCTCATTTCCCTTTTTCCAAAATGATTCTAGCTAGTGTCAAGTTGACATAAAACTAGCCAGCACAAGCCTCAACATTGTTTTTACAATAGTCATTTTAACTGGGGGTAAAAATGTTATCTCATTATTGGGGTCTTGATTTGCCTCTCTCTGATGATGACTGATATTGAACATTTATTAGTTAACTGTGTGTATTCTTTCTTTTGAGAAATGTCTATTTTGGTACATTGTCCATTTTAAAATAATATTATTTATTTACTTATTGTTCATTAAATTGTTTGGGTTCCTATGTGTTTTACATTATCAGCCCTCACCAGATGTACAGTCTCCAGATGTTCTCTCCCATTCTGTAGGTTATCTCTTCATTCTGCTGATTGTTCCTCCTTCTTTGCAAAAGCCTTTCAGTTTGAAATAATCTCATTCCTGTGTTTTTGCATCTGTCTCCTGTAGTTTTGGTGTCTTATCAAAAAACTCGCCACTGAAACAACACCACAAAGTATTCTACACCCGGGTTTTCTAATATGGGTCTCAAGTTTCAAGTCGAATTATTTTGAGTTGTTTTTTGCATATGGTGGGAGATGGAGTTTTAGTTTCATCTTGCAGTTTCCTCTCACCATTTATGGAAGAAAGTTCTTCTCTCGTGTGTTCTTTGCATCTTTGTTGAAGACTGGTATGCTGTAGGTGTGTGGGTTATATTCCACCGTCTCTAGTTGTTCCTCTGTCTACTGTTTTGATGATTATTGTCTTTGTTAGGGTTATTATTGCTGTGATGAAACACCATGACCAAAGTAACTTGGGAAGGAAAGAGTTTATTTCACTCACAGTTCCATATAAGAGTTCAGTATCAAAAGCATTGAGGGCAGGCACTCAATCAGGGCAGGAACCTGGAGGCAGGAGCTGATGCAGAGGCCATGGAGGGTGCTGTTTACTGGCTTGCTTCCAATAGCTTGCTCAGTCTGCTTTTCTATTGAATTCAGGACCACTAGCCAGGGGGGAAGGCACCACCTATCAATCACTCATTAAGAAAATGCCTTACAAGCTTGCCTACAGCTTGATCTTATGACGGTATTTTCTTAATTGAGGCTTCCTCTTAACTGATGACTCTACCTTGTGTCAAATTGACATAAACTAGTTAGTATAACTAGCTTTGTAGTATATTTTGAAGTGGTCAGATATGATGATGTTTACAGCTGTTTTCTTTTCACACATGATGACTTTGCTGTCTGCCTTTTTCTTTTCTTTCTTTTTTCTTTTGGTAGTTCCATATGAATTTTAAGATGTTCTTCTATGGGAATGTGACTGATATTTTCATATGGACTGCATTGAGTCTGAAGAGTGCTGTGGGCAGTATGGACATTTAATAATAATTCTCTTTCCCATCTATAAACAAGGGATATCTTTCAGCCGTTATGTGTCTTCTTCCATTTCTTTCATAAACATTTTATTCTTTTCAATGTAGAGATCTTTCATCTCTTCAACTTTTTTGAATTTTATTTTTGATAACTTATGTCTTTGGTGTGTAGAAAAGATACTGATTTTATTACATTGATTTTGTATCCTGCTGCTTTACTGAATTTGTTATCAATATTAATTATTCTCAACTTAATATTCTAATAGGTGTGTGTGTGTGTGTGTGTGTGTGTGTGTGTGTGTGCAAACAGTGACAGTTTGAGTTCTTCCTTTCCAACTCCAATGTGTTGTATTTCTTTATCTTGCTGATTGCCCTGGTTGAGACTTCTATCTCTATGTTGAACAGCAGTGGTAAAAGTGCACATCTTTACCTCATCCCAGACCTTAGTAGGAATGTGTTCACCTTTTTGACACTCTACATGATGCTGTCCACAAGCTTTTAGGCTGCTTCCCTCTTTCTCCTGAGGAGAAGCTATTAGTACCACATATTCATGAGTGAATGTTTCTTCATATTTTCTTTGGGAAAATACCAATACCACAGTCTGTCTCTAACACCAAACTTTTTGTTTCATTAATTAATAAATTAATTTATTTTTATGGTATTGGAGGTTGAGTCTAGGGCCTCACATATGCTAGGTAAGTGTTCTATCTCTGAGCCTATCCCTAGCCCTTTTTAGTCATTCTTTTGAGGCAGGTTTTCACGGTTACCCAGGCTGGCCTTGCATTCACCATGTTGCCCAGCAGGCCTTGTGATCCTCCTGCCTCAATCTCTGGACTAGTTGGGATTCCCATCATAACAGCAGTGACAATGTTCTTGTATCTCTACTGCATTGTTTCCTGTGACAGTTTCACAGTTTTGCTATGTTAGAGCTGGTATTAACATCACCACAGTGGTGGTCACAGTGTTCCTACAGTTCCAGGGCACCAGTGAGCTTGGTATTCACAGGAGCCCTGGGTATTGGACTGTGTTCATGTAACTTTTGGACATTGGGCATGCTTTTCACATAACTCTGCAATGCAGTGTGGCATCTGTGGTGATTTTAATAATGGTGGTCATCATATAAGTGTGTGACATTTGCCCTGTTAGTCACAGGAACAACATTGGATTCTGTAGTTACATAATTCTGTAGTACTTTGAAAAATGTACATCTAAATGAATGATGATGCTAATAGGTGTCAGGAAAGTCAAATGTAGTGCCAATCTAGGTACTTAGGATGAGAGTTATGATTGTGTGTGGAAGTAGATGTGCAGATGTTTGGGTACATGTGTGTATAATTATTCCTGTGTATTTTCATGTGTCTGCAGGTGCATGTACACATACATATGTGTGCATAGAAAAGTCATTGATTTGGGGTGTCTTCCTCAGTTACTGTCCACCCCAGTTTTTGAGAGAGGGTCTCTTATTGAACCTGGAGCTCACAAAATCAGCTGTGCTGGCTGGTCACCAAGCCCCAGGGATCCTTGCATCTCTGCATTCCCAGAACTGAGATTAAATGTATGTTCTGCCATGTTTGGCTTACCATACATGGATCTGGGGGACCAAACTCAGGTCCTTGTACTTAGAAGGCTATCACTTTAATGCCTGAGTCATCTCCCCAGCCCAGAGAGTTATGGTTTTGGTCAAGACCAAATGATATATCAGCAGTGGTGGTCTATTCGAATTCTGGCATTGGCCTTAGAACTCACATGATTCAGATGGGTACTGGTGGTATTCTGTAACCTTGACATTGGTGCTGGTGGTATTCTGTAACCTTGACTTGGTGCTGGTGATATTCTGTAACCTTGACATTGGTGCTGGTGGTATTCTGTAACCTTGACATTGGTGCTGGTGCTGTGGAGGGAGGAATAGCCACATTTGTAGGTGTAGAGGCTTTCAGTTTTGAGAAGTGGGTCAAGTGTTACATAAAGTTACATAACAACAGATGACAAAGTCAGGCCCGAGTCTGGGTTCCTGCAGAATGCAAACTCACTCCTTTCTGTACCACACTGAGGCATATTCAGTCGAATTTGAAGGTGTCTGTGTCTTCCAGCTCTCCTAGGGCTCGGAGCAGGCACTGCACCCCTTGTTGTGACTGTAGTCACAAAGTCTGTCCACTTGCGCATGCTTATGAGGGAGACTGACCTAAGTTACACACTGCAATGTGTGCGTTTGAACTTCTGGAAACTTGTGGTAAACAGTGGAGAAGGCTTTCTGCCAAACTGAAGTGCTCTATAGTTTACTCACAACCCTATAAATACATTTATTAGATAATACAGGTGTTCTGGTCAGTTTTATGTCAACTTTACTCAAGCTAGAGATGTTTGGGAAGAGAAAAATTGAGAAAAATGCCTCCCTTGTAGGCAAGTCTGTAGGGCATTTTCTTAATTAGTGATTGATGAGTGAGGGCCCAGCCTGTTGCGGGCAGTACCACCCCTGGGCAGGTGGTGCTGGGGTATATAAGAAAGCAGGCTGAGCAAGCCATGAGGAGCAAGGCAGTAAACAGCACTCCTCTACGGCCTCTGCGTGAACTGTTGACTCCTGGCGCTTGCCCTGTGTGAGTTCCTGCCCTGACTCCCTGTGCTGGACTGTGCTGGAGAACTGTCAGCTGAAGTTAACCCTCTCCTCCCCAAGCTACTTTTGGCCATGGTGTTTGATCACAGTGATAGAAATCTAACTAAGACAGAGGATTAGCATTAGTGAAAGTGTTTGTTGTATAGTGGCCAAATTCTTTCTTTAAAATTTTAAGAACGAGCCAGGCATGGTGGTGCACGCCTTTGATGCTAGCACTCAGAAGGCAGAGGCAGGAAGATCTCTGAGTTCAAGGCTAACCTGGTCTACAGAGTTCCAGAACAGCCAGAGCTACACAGAGAAACCCTGTCTCGAAAACCCCTCCAAAATGATTTAAGAACCTTTAGAAGTCTTGTACAGACCCAGAAATAGGATGTTTGTATTGAGGGGGAGAGCCTATTGAAAATATGTTTTAGTAACATTAACAAACATTTAAGATTTCCACATCTTACAGTGTATAAGGTATACTTCAATAAAAGCTTTGAAAAATATACATCTAAAGAAAATGGCAGTGCTAACAGGTTTGATGGACGTCAGGGTTCTGTCAATTTGGGATGTTTGCTAATAGATAAAAGTTTAGGTTTAGAGTTTTAATACAAACACAGTCATACCTAGAGTTTAAATCATCTTATATTGAAATTATTTATTCTCTTTCTTTTTGAGACAGACAGACAGACGGACAGACAAATAAATAACAAGCGCACAGCAGTGTGCATGTAGGGGTCAGAAGACAGCTTGTAGGAGTTATATCTCTACTTCTACCCTGTGGGTCCCAGGGATTAAACTCAGGGCATGACTTGGAGGCAGACACCTTTAACCATTAAGCCACCTCACCAGCCCCATTCCCTTGAATTTAAAGCTACAATGTGATGTAAGAATGTACATTCCTTCCCCAACCCCTCTGACATTGCTCTCAGTTCCCAGGACTCATGAACTATTTTTTTCCCCTTACAGTACTTGGGATGCATTGAAGTTCTGCGCTCAATGAGGTCTCTTGACTTCAGCACAAGAACTCAGATTACCAGGTAAGCTCTCCTGAAAGTAGACTCCTGTGATTTTTATCTTTGAAAGGAAAGCTGTCAAAAGTTTACATCCTAGGAATTTCTAGAAGAAAGCCTAACCCTTCTGACACTGGAGGCTGATAATGGACTCAGGACTCACAGTGTGTTAAAATATGTGTTAAAATATAGTTGTACCTGTCTATGTGTGGAGAGATATCTCTCATCAAGAGCACCATGATGGACACATGACCCTTCTGGGGTCTTTTTATAATGAAGCTGCAAACATAATCATAATTAAGGGATAACTTTTGTGTTCATGTTTGTTTCCTTAATCTAGGAACCACTAATGCAAGATCAATACTAAAATTACCAAATTATATTCTTTCTGAAAAACAAAGACCAAGACATCTAGAGTGAGTTTCCAACAGTGCACAGAGAGAACAAATTCACGGGATTAGATGTAGAACTATTCATGGGGGAAAATCATTTAGGAAGATTAACTTTTTAAAATATTTTATTTTCAATTAATATTTTAGGTCATATAGAAAATATTGGGTCTCATTATGACATCTTATTTGATTTTTACTAATATTTTAGTGTAAAAATACTGGACTTCATTGTACTGTCACCTGTGTATGCTAATTTACTGTGTTCATATCCACCTCCGGCCCCTCTCTTTCTCCCTCTTTCCCTTCTCACTTGTTCTCTTCTCTCCACAAATACTCTTTCTACTTTCATGTTGCATGTATTTAAATCTTTATTTTGCAAATGAGAGGAAACACGTAATTTTTATTTTTTCCCCAACTGCCCTTTCTTGTTCCACTTTCCCCCTCCCCTGACATAGTACCCCCTCCCACTTCTCTCTCTCTCTCTCTCTCTCTCTCTCTCTCTCTCTCTCTCTCTCTCACACACACACACACACACACCACACTTCTGTTAGTCTGGCTTATTTCGCTTTACACAGTGGTCTCTGGTTCCATATATTTCTCCTACAAATAACATAATTTAAACTATTTTCTATGTGTTTCCCACATATGGTGATTTCCAGTCATGTCATACAGGAGGACAACAGAGGCTGTGTGACACAGCAGTGCTTCTGTGGCCAAGGGGTCTCTCTTGCATTGACAGTTGTGGAATTGCTCGAATATCCTCCTCAGAAAATGGCACCTGATTACTTCACTGAGATCACTGTGTTGTACTTCTCTGAGTCAGGAAACCAAGTCTGAAGGCTTAAGCCACCATGTGTAGTCATTAACTCTCTCCTGAGTACTGTAGTAATGCCTCTTCCTCCTCACCAAAGAAGTTCATGGTCAAGAGTTGACATTTCTCTTCTCCCTAAAGTAACTCAAGACACGTGGTGGGAACATGCCAGCATCAGTGTTCTGAACCAAAAAAGGAAGGAATTAGGTTTGAAAAGAGAAGTCTGTTCCCTTGGTCACTCATGCATTCACTGTGCTCATGACTGCAAGTACCATAGAAGGGTGACGTGGCTTTCGTCAGGGGAGGGCGAAAGAGGCAGAGTAAGCTTCACTGACAGGCTACAGTTCTTATCAGGGCTTCTGAGGGGCTTGGTCATGGGGCTAGGGACTTTTCAGAAATGTCAGAATATGGGTTAGGGCATATGGTGTTAATGGTTAACATTAATGTTAAGCCAGGAGGGGCAGGAACAGTATTTGTGGTGACTTTGGGGAAACATTCACAGGAATGGTTTTCATTCAGGCTGGAGTGGGGCTGCCTTTAAGATAAAAGATAAGGCTGTGTTAATGTTCGACTGCTGTGAAAAGACACCATGATTGTGGCAACTCTTATAAAGGAAAACATTCAGTTGGGGCTGCCTTACAGTTCAGAGGTTCAGTCCATTGTTGTCATGGAGGGAAGCATGGTAGCATGCAGGAAGTCGTGCTGGAGAAGGAGCTGAGAGTCCTACAACTTGATCCACAGGTAGCAGAAAGAGGGAGAGACTGGGTCTAGCTTGAGGATATGAATCTGCAAAGCCCACCCCTCCAACAAGGCCACACCTCCTCCAACAAGGCCACACCTCCTCCAACAAGGCCACATCTCCTAATCCCTCTCAAGTAGTGCCACTCCCTGATGACCAAGCATTGAAGTATATCAGCCTATGGGGACCATTCCTATGCAAACCACAAGGGGCGTGTTCACTTTCTTTCACTGACAAGGTATACACTGTCCCATCAAGTGCAGAGTGATTCCCACTGCCTAGGGATGTAGGAACTGTGTGCGATGTTCACATTCACCTGTGTGGTGGTTGTTTTTAAAGGGGATAAAGTCTACAATTGTTTCCACTGGGTTCCTTCTTGTGATTTATGAGGCACCTTTGTGCCATTGGTGTGTTTATTAAGTTATATCATTTGTGCTGCTGGGTGATGTGGGCTGTCTGCTCTGCCAAGCTGCCCAGGCTTGAGCCAGATGACATACAAATGACTGAGGATCATTTAAGGGACATTGACTGAGCCCTGCTCCTCTGGGGTGGTAGTAAGGGGAGCTGGTGGGGTAGGGGCACAAGCAAATAATTGTGGTTTTCCCTTGGGTGAGGATTTTCTTCTTGGGGACCTGTGGGTAGAATCCAAGAGGACAGAAGCACTCACCCTGTAAAAGAAAGCAGATGGAGTTGACCCTGGTGGATATGGAGATAGGATGCCTTTCTCCAGTCCCATCCCACTGTGTAAAAATGCTTCAGTGCAATAGGGCAAGTGGAATGTCAGTCCTGGACTCAGACAAGGTGCTGTCACATCCAAGGTTGCAGCAGTATTGCCTTGGGTTTCATTAGACTCTTGAAAGTTATGTTGTCGACCTCTGTGATGCTCCCTATCCCTGGGATATCATCACTATTATGTGGCACGTTTCTTGGCGAAGTTAGTTCCTGGAGCACACTCACAGGAAACTAAAAAGAAGCTGTTTGCATCCAGAGGAATGCTCTGCCCTGCCTTGTGAATTCACACAATGTGGAGCTGTTAAGGCCTTACTGGTAACTAGGTGTTAACTGTGCCTGCCTCCCTGGTTAAATACTTCCTCCAGAATTTATACAGCAAGGATATTCTTGGGAGGTTTCAGGGAAACTTAGCTTAGTCAGATTATACAGACACTAGGTGAACTCATTTCTTAAAGTATTTTAGTCATGATATTTATTTAATTAAATCTATTGTTTGTAAGCAAATAACCTCTATGCATCTGCTTTACTGAATTTTAGAATATAACTTAAGATTCTCACCCATATATTATTTGGAGGCACTGACAGTGGTACCACGTGCCTTTTTCAAGATAGATTTAGTTTTGTTCTGTTCCTTGGCAACTGAGTTTGTTTATTGTTTTCTTTTCAACAAAAGTAGGCATTGATTTCCACTAAAACATGACTTTTAACCATTTTCCAACTAAAACATAACTTTAAAAAATAAGTTTAATTGCTTCTAGACTTAGTGGCTCAGTGGCTGTCAAAAATCCTGTACTCCTGATACCCTGGTTTAGGGGAACTGGAGGGATACGTTCACTCCAATCCTGCACACTGTGCTGAGGTGGCCTGGTTATAGGGCCCTTAAGGCTCTGCAAGGCCAATTTTGATCTGAAATATTGAGCTTGGTTTGTATTTGGAAACCTAGTAAGAAGGGGAACAAAATGATACAGGAGAAGGCCTGGTCATAGGAGCTCCTGTTGGAGATTATTTAGTCCTGTTGCTAAGATGTTATTCATCACAGTGGACACAGGACTAGGAGTGAGCATCCACAGTATGAGGGGCAGCAAGGCTGCAGCAGGTATTGCTTCCCCCACACCCTTGTGTTGATGGGATGTACAGCGGAACTAAGGACTTCAGTGCTTGTGGAGGCTTGTGGGAGATTCTGCAGAGGAAACTGCTTCCCACAGGGCTCCTTCTCAGCAGGCTCAGAGAGCAAAGTCCTCTGCCCTCCCCTAAATGTAACCTTGTCCAGCACAGCTTTAGAATAGAGCATTTGTACCCCCACCTCCCACATTTGTGGATGGGAAGTGCATTTTGCAGTATCAAAGAAGCCCCACTGCAGGGGACAGTGAAACTTGTTCTTGGTTTTCCAAGCTAGCTCAGCAAGTTGATGACCTCACTTCCCTCCACTCCCAACTATGATATGATCTCTGCCTGCTCTGTGTCCCTCAAAGAGCTCAAGGACCAAGGATGTAAACTAGGACTGATATCACCTGGTTCCCAACAGGAGGTCCATTGGAGGTCTCCACATTTATCTATGCAAGCTATTGGGTTTCCACACTGGCCACTGTGACCACAGAGGTGGGACACTGGCCCTGGCCTCAAAGCTGCAATCTCCTTATCTGTACTGCTGGAACTGCATGACAGTATTTCCTGGGTCAGGGAGCCCTGACCTCCTCTGGTGGGGACTCCTTCTGGAGAAGGTGCTATGGCATCTGGGCTTGTGCTCATGACATGGCTGTGAGTCTGCTCAGAGTAGCCCTGCTGGTTGAGAACTGCAAAAGGACAAGAAATGTCCTTGGCCACTTGTGTTAAACTCTGTCTGTCACTGGAAGTCCCCCCAAGGCCAATGTTTGGACAGAGGCAAGCTATGACTATCTGCACTGTACAATTAAATCCAGAGTCCTCAGAGAGGTGGCCATGTTACAAAGGCCCTAAAGATGTTTAATCTTGACTGTTACCTTCAGCTGTTGTTCCGAGGTCATACCCTAGATGCACAAGATGCCAAGAGTGTCTAGGCAGGCCCCAAGCTAGACATACAGGACAGCAGATCGAGGAGTGGTCACCCACCCGAAGCAAGGACCTCCCTTCCGTCCTCATTCCTCACACACATCCCGGGTGTGATGGTTCATTTTCATTTTCAAATCGATGGGATTTAGAATCACCATGGAAACACATCTCTGGAGGAGACACTGAGAATGTTTCCAGATAGGTTAAACTGAGCAGGGAAGACCTACCCTGAATATATCTCTGGAGGAGACACTGAGAATGTTTCCAGATAGGTTAAACTGAGCAGGGAAGACCTACCCTGAATATGGGCAGCGTGGCTTGGGGG